CTGCCAGCCGGCAGCTTGCAGTGGGGCCACATTCGAGGTCTTGAGCTGTTTCTCCTCGCAAACATACTGCAGTCCGTGTAGAATCTCAGCAATGATGATGAGTAAGTCGCCGGTCAGAATGGGTTTGTAGTCCGTGTACGGCAACGTGACCAGGTCGTACTCAATACGATGGACGTCCAGACTGATAATGTCCAGCAGGCCGCAAGAAATCGTAAAGATGGCCAGCCAGTGCCGTCCGGTCAGCGTGTGGTTCAGAAACATGGTGCTGAAGATGCCCACAAAGATCAGAGCGGCGCCTGCGGGAAAGATGGGGCAACGTAAGTAAAGATAAGCAAGGCCACTCGCTGATAGAAGTACCCCTTATCATCTGAAAGCTGGTGGCATAAGTCAAGTAAAGTCCGGTGAACAGCAAAATGGAGGCTACCGCATCCAGCAAGGTGGGCAGTAGCATGCTCACGGGGCGGAACTCACTGCTGTCCTGTGACAAGATGCTATCCAGATCGGATATGACCTGTGGATTGCCAGATGATTACAATCTAACTTCCAAAACCACGAAAGTTATGTCGGTTACGATCCAACGTTCGAACCGGCATTGGAACTTACTCCACGACGACTGGAGATCAGGCGGATCACCTTGAAGACCACAAAGCACAGGAACTCGCCCAGGAACATGAGCAGTGTGAACACCACTGGATGTTGGAAGCCATGCAGTTTGCCATCGCTGCCGATTACCTGGTGTTGATTGGCCCACCTGCAATACGCACAGCAGCGAGTGCACATTCAGTTAGATCCATCATTTACTATTATTAAGCGATCTCTTGCTACTCACTTCACCACCAGAACGTTGAAGGTGCCGCTGAGCACAAAGAGCAGCGACAGAAGTACTCGATGATCCATTCGTCGGCGGAGGATTCACTTTTTGGGTGCAGCGTTAATTCGATTTATGTCTAAATATTGACGTTCTTTGTGCAATTCGCAATTGTGAATTGTGACTGCGCAGTGATAAGTAGAAAAAAGTGCGGCCACACGGTTAACTCACTGCCCTTCCACAGGTCTATATACTCTACTTAAGTGGTTGTCACCATTAACCAGTAAGTCTACCGTTTTCAAGGTCAAAAACAAAAGTAACTAGTAATTTTTTTTTTTGCAAGTAATGCGAATTAGTTTGTTTTTACGGTACTTTTGTTTATTTTCTGCTATCGCCAACAGTGTGACTGCACAGGATACCAAAGCTACTACGCAAAATATACTGAATGGTCGATAAATAATATGGTCATGCTACACAGCAACTGGTGGGTTTTTAAAAAGCGCGGGCTTTTTGAAATGAAATCTAAATTGGCAACAAAAGGATAATGGATTCGTTTAAGTCCATTTTTAAAATTTAGGGAAGCGTGGTATAGAGAATCCATAACATATTGTATAAATTTTGTGGTACAAAAAAAGAATAAATTGTTTGCACTTATTTTTGCCAAGTTTTTATTAAACACAAACTTAAAAAATATCACAGGATATGAAAAACCATTTAAATGAAAATACATGAAGTGGTGTTAGTGCATGTGCCGCACAATTGCCATCAATTTGCTTCCATTGGCGCTTGCGTCGCATTTTGTGCTAATTTCCTGTAAATAATTCAATAATTTTGTATAGTAAAGAATCGAGGAAGGTATATGCAACAAACACTAGCAAGCAAAAACACAGTTGGCAAACAAAAGCGTGTCCTGTCATCTCACCTGTAAGCTGTGGTGTTTTTTTTAAGTGTTGTGATAATGTCTCTGAGTATCGTGTTTTCTACTCTAGTACCGTTTCGTCCAGTGTAGGTGTTCCTAGAGCTCATCTCGCGCCTGGGAGGACGATGGCAACGTCACTTCCTCCACAGAGCCCAGGTGTATGGTTCTGTTTGGTCGGCTGAACTTTGGTATGTATGCGACCGAGTCGCTGTTGCTAACCACCGAGTTGTGTAGGTGTTCCGTGGGTGCCGCGGGATCAGGACTTGTGAGTGTGATTTTCGAGCCAGTGGCCACTCTGTGGAATGCATGTATGTGGGTATTGTACTGATTGAAAGCTCGGGTCAAAACAAGAGAACTAAAGAATTCGCGTGGAATTCAATTATCCCTGGAAACTAACCAGTTTCAAGTCAAGTTAGGCTTCAAAAAGTCACTGAACTAAAGAAAATGGTACATTGTACCTGAAAAATGTGTGATTCTGGGTATGAGTTTTTATCTGGGCTATAACTATTTGTTGTGTACCAGCAATGTGTAAAGTTAGTATAGCACTACTTGGCCGGCATTAGTTTTGGGGGTATAGGTAAAAAACTGGTCATCTCTCTTGTACCTTATGTACAGCTTTTGGAGGTGATTGTAGTCGAAGAGGAAAGATCTAGAGTGGTTGAAAAGATCTATTGGCGCTGGCGGGCTCCACCGCGTGCTCCACGCAATTTTTGTGGATTTCTAATGCAGATCAGAGATCGTAATCAGAGCTTCGGACTCGGATCTGACACCTTACCTGTCCCTGGCCTGCATGCTGGCCTCCACGTCCAGGCTGCGAGGCTGCCGGAAGTCGCATTCCAGCGAGAAGGCCGAATCTCCGGGCGTGATCAACTCTGGGTCGTTCTGGATCACCACGATGTTGGTGTAGAGGTCACCATCCCGGATCGTTTGGCACTGGTCCAGCTGGAAGTTCATCTCCATGGTGCGGGATCCTTGGCTGGATGTGGGCTTCATGAAGCACGGCGCAGACTGCTTGTAGAAGCTTCCACGAGTGTACATAACGCCCGTGAAGGGCTTCTCCGTCTCCAGCACCACGTTCATGGAGTCCGCTCCGCACTTGAGGTTCACCTTCTGAATGCCCTGGTCGCTGCCCTCGATTTTAAAGGTGTCCGAAAGGTCTTGTTCCCAGATTTCTGCAATAGGACGAATCAATTTCATGATACCCATGAAAAGGTTGTTTATGTAACACATTTCTCTGCTATGGACTAAAAGTATCTGACAAGTGCAAGATTTTACCACTAAAAAAATTAATAACCATAAAAACATACCTAATATTTCTAAAAACCTAACGGATAAACTCTTGAATTTGTGTATAGTTTGTACAACTTTCTTTTAGTTTTAGATACTATTACTCTCCATTTCTTTTCTAAGCCTTTCTTCTGGTAAGTAACGGTTAGAACCACCTGAGCCTACCATTTCTAGGCACCTTATTCACCGAACCGTTGAAGTTCACTCATCTCTCAGATAGCCGGCATTATTGATAACCGGTTTCTGCTTATTTTGGTCTGGCTAGAACGGCGCGCAGCAAAAGAACTTGGCATTGGGAATTTCTCCGCCCAGCCTGGATGATTCAGTCAAGTTGCTCTTTTGTTGACCCAAGTCGACGATCTTACCTTGGTTTTGATTCTTCTGCTGCTTATTGCCAGAGACGTGCACAGCCAACAGCAAATTGCAGGCGAACAAAAGCAAAAAGGCATTCATTAATCCCGACATATTATTGCACTTTATTATTATTTAAGACAAAACGATGTAAAGTTATCGCGAAGTTTCCTGCCTCTCGAAGAGATCTTCACAGCTGCAAGCCAAGATTCAAACTGACGAAACAATTGCGCCTGCGCAGCGCATATAAGCGCGACTCAAAAGCTCCGCTCACCGCAAGCGATGAAGAAACTGGAAAAAGACTCGACTTAAGAGAGAAAGAGACGTTTCCACAGAGCGTCGGTGAGAATTTGGTCAATAGCAGAGCATGAAAACCGTTAATTGCACTGCGCTTTTGATAAGGCGAAAATTTATTGGCAGCAACGATGGATCTGAAATGGATCCATAAGGAAGACAGATTGAGTTCCCATTACAATATTCTATGTTATAATTTAAATATTGTACACTAAGTGATTTGAGGAAGTACTGCTTTAAGAAGGCTTAGATTCCCATTCTGGAGACCAAAAACTATTTATTTCAAATTCTTGCAGAGCCCTTTAAATTTAAAAACTTTTGAAAAAGTCTAGCCTGGTGCGGTTAAACCAAACTTTTAAAACTTATGCATAATAAATTACAATAAATTTAGAGATTTTCGAACTATAATTATGGTTAGCTTAACCTTAAACCCACACAAAATACCTGTTTTCCAGGGTATCAGTATTTATTTAAAGCGGCAGTTTAAGGAAAACAAAATGCGGCATCGCTCCAGAGACATTTCCGCTTTTCGCGTGTGGCATGTGGATTTCTGCTGCGGTGCATTCGAATGCATTCGTTTCGCATTTTTAGCGCTGCATTCAACCGATTTTTTTGGTTGCCGTTCATTATTCAAAATGTTATTAAACTTCCCCGTTTTTTGCGACTGACTTTCGGTCTCGACTTTGGTTCTCCTTCATGCAACGAATTTAATAATTTGAGCAGTGGTTTTCATCTTGAGGTTGGTTTTCATTTTCTTCGTTAGTTTTCCAACTGCCTTTTGTTGTTGCCTACGTCTTTTGTTTTTCGCTTACTGCGTTAATTAAAGTGTAATTAGTTAACGACTCGGCTTGGCCATGCCAATCCAGCGAAAGGTGGAAGTGGCGTTGTTCAATATTGGCCAAAATGCATTTACTTCGAGAGACTTGTGGAAGCTCTGTTGCAGATGATTAAGTTGTTATGCCTCCTTGTGTTTGCTGGCTTTCATAGCTGTGGATTTCGGAAAAGATGACTGCATTTGTTCGGATTAACTCGAATTAGTACAATTAATTTTCAAGTTTTTTAAATAAACATCATTGGAACTGCAAATTAATTTAAACGAGCTTGCATATGATTTAACAGGGAATATGACCCTATAATATATGTCACATATATGTTATTTTCGCTGAAGAGCTCAGCACTTATCTGCAATTACTTATTGTTAAATGCTATCTGCGAGAGTTATCACTTGCTGATTAAACGCTTATCAATTTTGGTTTGCAACTAAATTGATTTTTCCATCCCAAGCCATCTGAAGTTCATTTCTAGGGCACTGTAAAGGTCACCCAAAGAAAACACAAATCATTTCTCGTAAAAACACATATTTATCATTCCGATTTCAAGATCATATTGCATTATTTCTTCTTCAGTGCTGCCCAATATACCTCCAGTTCATTGCCCTCCCAGTGGAAAGGCTTGGTCAAAACACTGAAAATAGGAAAATATTAAATTTACATAATGCCTTCATAGAGAGGATAGTGCAATTGGCCAAAGCAAAAGGAGTAAAAGTATCGCCGATGTGTATGGATAATGCTTGTGGAGCACGAAATGCTGCTGTGGAGAGACCCAACAAGTTCAACTTCCAGCCGGTGGGAATCGCAGATACCGCGCACTTGGGGAAGTGGTCAGTAATTGCCGGGGAGTGGGGAGCGGGGAAGAGGTTGTCTGGTGCCTACTGCACCGATGGCCAAGATTGACAATGATCATGCACACACACACACACACACTGCCGTGTATGGACAACTAACCGAGCAGTGGACCCCCATTGGCAGGCAGGGAAGTGGGATATGATGTAATGGTAACATTGTATCCGAGTTGCACAATTTTCGCTGTGCCGCTTTTGGCCAACTTCCGAGTCGGACACTCACTTTGCTTGCAGGTACCGCAGCACTTCCTGCTCCTTATCGCTGAGGCCCACTTCGCAGGCATCCAGGTTGATGCGCAGCAGCTGGCGCGTCTGCATGCCCGTGAGGAAGGTGGACACCTCGGGCAGACCGCTCATCGTGTAGTACATGGCCAGCTTTCCCAGCTCCACGCCGCGTTCCTTGCACACCTCCGATGCCCTCCGGGCAATGGCCTTCTGCTCATCACTGGCCGGATGCCATGGCTGTGGTCCGCCGTTGGTCAGCAGTCCGAGGGCATGAGCCGCGGCACAGATGACACCCAGGTTCTGGGACTTGAAGAAATCCAGGTACTCCAGGAGCGTTTCATCAGTGAGAGTGTATCTGGCATAGGTGAGGACCGTCTGGTATAGTCAAATATTATAGTCATTATAGTCAAATGTAATGTTTTAGTTGTATGCCATGAACTCACATCCAGCCGTCCAGCTGCACGGGTCAGGAACTCCTTGAGCACCGAAATCGGGTAAGCGGACACGCCAATGAACCTGGCCTTGCCCTCCTTGACCAGCTGCTCCAATGTGGGCAGTGTCTCGTTGATCACAATGTCCAGATCCTTGGCGAACTCGATGTCGTGAATCTGGATGACATCAACGTAGTCCAGGCCCAGGAGTTTCAGACTCTTCTCCACGCTCTCGCGCGTCTTCTTGGCACTGAAGTCGAACATGTTCTCGTAGTCCAGTTCATAGCGAGCCACTTTCGTGGCGATATAGTAGGATTCCCGCGGCACATTCTTCAGTGCGTGTCCAAGGACCTCCTCGGAGCGACCCTGACCGTACCACGGAGCAGTGTCAATGTAGTTGATGCCCGATTTCAGGGCCTCGTGCACCGTTTCGATACCCTCCTCCAAATCAAAGCTGAAAGGGAATATATGACCATAACGATTAATACAATTTGTATATTAATAAAACTTGAATAACTGCTAATAACGTATGATGAAACTGCAATTTAAATTAATGAATTTCCTTAAGGAATAACAACGTTATAACAAAGCAGACTTTATATAAAATATCTTTTGATTTCAACAATTAGACATCGATTTTCAAATAAAGGCCAAAATGTTTTCTTTCTGTGTACGCGAGTAGTGGAATTTGCGAAGATTTCTCTTACCCGTAGTTCGCGCACAGGGCGCCGCCTCCGAAAGAGACTTTCGAGACTTGCAGCCCGGTCTTTCCGAGACTACGATATTCCATCCGGCGCACCTTCTCCTCGTCGTGGAATCCCTTCACATAGGTAGCCGGCAATGTTCGAGACATTTTCGATAATCCGTAAATATTGCGCTGTTTGTTGAAATTCAATCGGCAGTCGGAGAAGTACTGGCTTCTTTGCCTTCATATCTATAGCTTATATTTTGAACATCACAGATTGCCTCTTATCAAAGAGCCATGCGAAATGAGTGCCAATGATGTACGTTCTGTAGTGGAGCGGTTTCAAAGTAATTGAACAAATCTTTTCAAGATTTCTCTTCTCGGATTAAAATGAAGAGAGGGATTGGATGTCGTTTAAGGGAACGTAGTTCTTAACAAAGAGTTGCTCCAGAAGAATTCTGTTGGGAAATAAACGGTAATTGCTTTAGAGAGGCTTTCTTCTCTCAACCAAAGAAAACAAATAGTAATCAACTAAATCAAACCGCTCTTTGCTTGTAAACAAAATCTACAGCAAATAGAAAAAACAAACCATTGTCGTGTATTTAGTAATGTTAAATGATCTAATCTTTTGCTCGGCCTGATTTTTGATCCTAACTCGGAATAATTAAATTATACAGGACTTGAAAGCCTTGTCAGGTGTTATTTCAGTTCGAAAATGTTCTTGTAATAACAGTTTATTTCAGTGAATATTATAATCGAAAGTTCATTCAAAATCCGCTCTTCCTGCATATTCAAAGATTTCTTGCTGTTGGAGCTCGAATTCGATTCCCATGGTAAGTGGTCACTTGAACATGTTAACCGTGGATAAAGTGGAGCCCCAGCTGTAGGACTTGGTAAAGACGCTGGAACGAAGACAGAGAAGGAAACCAATGTATTGTGGCGATTGGAATGGCGATTGGACTTGGGCAGTCTGCACTGGATCGAGTGACCAGTAACCAGTTTGGCCAGGCCGAGGCCAAGTTCGTGCCCGTGATGCAATTGCACCAAATCCGACTTGCACAGTTCCCTGTTCGGCGCAACCAGTTGTTGGCCAACTTACTTTTCGCGCAGATACTGCACCACTTCCTGCTCATGGGGAGTGAGTCCATCGAAGACCGCGTCCAAGTTAATCCGCAGCAGCTTTCGGTTGGGGATGCCGATGAGGAAGGTGGCCGCCCCATCCAGTTGCATCGCATAGTACATGGCCAGCTTGCCCAGCTCCACGTTCCTCTGCTGGCAGATTTCGGCTCCCCGTTTGCCCACGGCCAGGAGTTCCGGGCTGCCAGGATGCCAGGATTGGGGTCCAGCATTGCTCAGGAGTCCCAGCGAGTGGGCGGCCGCACAGACAACGCCCACGCCCAGCTCCTGGAAGGCCTTCATGTGGCGCAGCAGACTGTTGTCCAACAGGGTGTAGCGGGCGTAGTTTAGCACCACCTGGATGCGAACCTTGCCCCGCTCCGCGCACTCCTTCAGCACGTCCACATCGTAGGCGGTGATCCCAATGAATCGAGCCTTTCCCGCCTGGACGTACTCTTCGAGGACGGGTATGGTCTCGCTCAGCACCATGTCCAGACTGGGTGCCGCGTCCACGTCATGAACCTTTCATATCACGGTTCCATTAGTTCATCAGCTTATAGGGGAATCCACCAAACCCACCTGTAGCACGTCCACCCTGTCCAACTGGAGCAGCTCCAGACTACGCTGCACACTCTGCCGAGCTTTGGCTGCCGTATAGTCGAACATCTTCTTGGGATCCAACTCATAGCGTGCCACCTTAGTGGCTATATAATAGGCCTCCCGTGGCACATCCTTTAGCGCCTGGCCAAGCAACTCCTCCGATTTGCCTTGGCCATAGAAGGGAGCGGTGTCTATGTAGTTGATGCCGGATCTAATGGCCTCCTGCACCGTGCGGATGCCCTCCTCGCGATCGAAGTCATCGGAGAAGAGCTTGGAGAGGGTGGCACCACCTAGAGCTATTTTGGACACTCGCAGACCCGTGGTTCCCAGTTGGCGGTACTCCATTCGACGCACCTGCTCCTCATCGTGGAAGCCCTTGACGAACGTAGCTGGCAGTGATCCCGACATCCTATTCTGTTCAATTAACCAGCTCGAATGAAAGGAATGCCTAATGAAATTGCACTGTTATATGATCCGAGGTCCGGGTTTGCAGCTAAAGATAAGAACTGTCGGGGTAAAAAGTACTTTTCACTATGTATGAGTGAGCTCCGAAATAGATTTTCCTCCCTTAGCAAGCTTCTCTTTGTGAAAGCAGCTGTGCAAGAGAATGCCCGCTCTTAATTCAATACATATACATTAAACTATCTTCTCGCATTATTAATGTAGCTCTCTGAAAGAACGATTCTAAAAATCATGATATTATATACGAACCACCTTCTTTAAAGGGAAAACCCATTTCCAATGAAGGTTTACAGCAACTGCAACAGGTAATACCTTTCGATAAATATACTTCAGTTCATGTTTGTTTAAAGACTATTTATTTTATTTATCAGCGAAGATTCCGAGCTTTTTGTGGCTTCCAATCAATTGACAAATCGTAAGAGTAAATATAAATATCTGCTTTATATATCAATATGCATGAGATGGGTGCGAGCAACGCTCAGAAGAAGACATCGAAGTCGCCCTGTGGCTGATAGCCAGCTCCGGGCGGGATCAGCTGGGGTCGCTGCTGCTGGCGCTGTGGGCGTGGCACGATGATGTCGTTGATCTCGTGGAGAATTCCATTGGTGGCCACCACATCGCACTTGGTGACGCCGGCGTTCTCGATCTTGGGACGGCGATCGCGGGTGATGCGCAGATGCTGGCCAGAGATGGACTCAATGGAGCGGACAAATGGCCAGTTGGTTGGAATAATGCCGGCACAACAGACAACATCCTCAACGATATGGGTCTTGACCAGGGACATGGGATCGGCGGGCTTGAAGCCCTCGCCGGACTCGTTCAGCTCCTCGAAGACATCGTTCTTGGGCACCAGCAGGGTGAGACTCCTCGAATCGTTGGACAGCAGCTGGGTGAGATTAGCCTTGCGAACCAGCTCCAGGAACTTGCTGTAGTTGGGATTAGCCTCCAGCAGCTTAAGCATGTTCTGCGGGCAAATTTACAAACAAACTTAAGCAATATATTCCTGGAAAACCTCTAGGAACTCACATTCTTGGGTGGCGCCAAAGCACGATCCACCTGGTGGAGGACGGATCCGCAGCTCTCGTCATCGAAGTGCACCAGACGGGCGCAGTTGACCGTTGCCCGGTTCATCACGTCCGAGAAGAGGGCATGTGTGGAGTAGAGATTCAGACGCACACTGGATCCAGCAACCGTGGGCAGGGACTTCTCCGACAGGTCACAAGTTTTGATCATGGGCTTGACGACATGGTAGTTGAGGAACTCTAGCAGATCCAAGTTATGATCCAGCAGCTCCGGCTTTTCCTTGAGCATGCGAGCCCATTCCGTATTCTGCAGAGCCTTGTCAGTGGGTGCAAAGATGGTCACGTTGTCCAGATCGTCGAACTGATCATCGTAGCCAGAGGCCTCCAGCAGTCGCTGGAAGATGGTCAGGTTCTTTTGCGACATCAGCGTGGTCATGGGCAGAGCTGACTCGGTGGGCAGGATGGTGTCGATCACGTGCAGGACACCATTGGTGCCCATGATATCGGCCTCAATTATTTTGGCCAGGTTGTTGATGTAGATGGGAGTCGGCCCAGTCTGATTCGCCGCGCGGTTAGTGCGGTTGAGGAGCAGGGGTTCTCCCAGCAGATTGTAGGCAGTCGTCTTGGCGCCCGGAACAGTGGCCAGCGAGCAGAAGGTGAGGTCCAGCAAGTGGTTCTTCAGGATGTCTACGGAATGAATGCGAATCATTTTGTGTTAGTCAACTGGTTGTGGGTTAGTTTCCCGAACAACTCACTTGAGGCACAACCACGACCCTCCTTGAGGGCACGACGCAGATGGGGTTCCAACTTGTCGAAGGCGGCATCGGTGGGCACAAAGATGGTCACCGGCTTGTCATCCTCCAGCATGGCGCTCAGGTTGGTCTTCTCCAGAACAGTGCGCATAATGGACATATCCGCACGCTCCCTGATGATGTCCATCAGGTTCTTGGTCAGCGGCTTCAGCACTCCACCCAGAGTGTGGACGAGGGCCTGCTCCGAGAGCTTGTCGTGCTTCTCGATGGGCACACAGTTGGCGGCAAAGCGGTAGGGTTCCAAGCCCAAAGCCGCAGGCAGCTGGTAGCTGTTGATGCGGATCTTCTGGTCAGGCAGCTCCGTCTGCAGAAGCTTCTCATTGGGCACGTCCTCCAGCTGAACTTCGCCGAGCACAGCGTGCAGTTTGTAGATGGATGGCTTGGAAGCCTCGGCCTTGGCATCTTCAACATTCTGTTGTTTGCAATAAGAAAGACAACTTTATTCAGATTACTTTAAGTAACCAAAGGCACACTCACATTCTCTTGCTGATGGTGACCACGGTACTCCATGAAGGCGGCGTCGTTGGGCACGAAGAGGGTCACCTTCTTGCCACTGCCGGCGCCGAGCATATCGGCCAGTTCGCCGGCAGTGCGAGCGCTCTCCAGGAACTCCTTGGCACCCATGTCACTGGCCGTGGCCTCCACGTCCTTGATGTCGATCTTCTCGCAGGGCGTCGTGAAGTCGGCGTTTCTGGGGCGTCCATATCCATGGCAGCACTGGCGGGTCAGCGTCAGCGTTTTCTTCTTGCCATTTTGATTCACGCTGGAGGGGATTAGGTATTCAATCAATTGGATTATACGCGTATTAGGTAATCCTAGTGTAATCTGCTTACATCTTGGTGCAGACGTGCTTGTTGGGCTTCTCCGCGCAGGAGTTCACGCTGAATTGGAACTGGCCAAAGAGTGGGGATCGCACCACGTTGGTAACGCCATCACGTTCCTGGCCAAAGGTGTCCACGGTTTCTTCACCCTCCGTTTCGGTGGCCACGGTCTCGTCTTCCTCCTTTTCGGTGCACACATTGGGTCTGAATGAATCGAAAGATTGGATGTTGGTTAACTAAGTGATGTGGTAATCGTGCACTAGGTCTTTGAATATATGTACATATATGGTGCTTATAACTTGTAAGCAATTACTAACAAGACCTTGTTAGGTTTTTCACAAAATTCCTTTATACAGCTCTCTAGCCAAACCTACAAATTCCCTGCTAATGAGTTGGCCATATATCAGACGTGCAAATCGAAATGTCAATGTACTATACTCACAGAGCCCACAGTATAATTCTGATTCAACCCTAAAATTGCCATATACCCACAACTCCGAATCCAATCCAACTTTGTTGGTTGATCAGTGCTCGCCAACCGACTGTTTGCCCAATGGATTTGCACAATGAGGCGGCATAGAAAGCATAGTTATACTATACAAACTGACTTTTATATAAACGCGTTCGTGTGTTGGCTTAACAGCTTTGCCAGTCCATCAATTCAATTATGGCAGCGATGAGACGCCTCGCAGTTTTGGCTTCTGAATGCGAACTCATTGTGTGCGTAGATTTTAGAAATTTCTCACTGAACCATATAGCATATAGCAGTCGCATATAAACAATATACATACGAGTATGTAGTTTGTAATGCAGCTAATTTTTCAATTTGCCACATCTGTGACTTTCATTTTACTATGCCCGCAGCAACGAGTTCATCGCACACTACAAAAAAGACGACAAGTGGATTTCGCAATTTATAAAAGTGCAAGCTCGGCTGAGGAAACCGTGTAGTTGTGCACTTATCCAATGTAGTCACTATAACACTATATCTCTATATATTCATTCACTTTTCCCCATATACTTGCACAGTGCCCATCTGGTTGGGCAATTAATCACATAAGCAATCGATCCCTGGAAAAATATTAAGCAGCCTCAGCTGCGGGTAATCTTGGATGGAAAATTATTTAAGTAGGTATTTGCTACCTAATTGATATGCTCGATTGCCTCTATAATGGTGATAACCCATCAAACCCATCACAATTACAGCTTACTTTGGAAGACACCATACACCGTATAGACAATCACATATTTAATGGGTCGTATGAACTTGACATTGTGCTGTTTTAATTGCCAAATGCCAAGAACAGCGAAGTTGGACGCAGAATCACTCGAGTGCGGCGATTAGGAAAGACGCCAAATTACTGACCATAACTTTTTAGCCATCTAGTGCCCTTGATCGATGCCACTCACCCCTTCCACCAGGGCTCCTGGGCAGCTCCAAAGCCGAAGCCTCCGAACGAGTTGAAGAACTCATTGCCAAAGAAGGGGAACGACTGCTGGAAGAATATGGCTGGATTCGGTGCATTCACATCCGTGGTGATGGTGTCCACATCTGCGAAGTAAGGAAACATTTAATGCTGTGCTGCAAATTCAAGTTTATGACAATATCTGAACACACTTAGAATATATTTTAGTAGCAGTTTTAATTACGCTGAGCTTAAGTTTGTACATAATATTCTTTAAAGTGCACTTTTCATGGCATTGTTCAATCACTATAATTAAGCAATTGATTGTTGATCAAGGTGGGCCAGCTCTTGCTGGTGCAAAGTAGTTTATGGATTGCGATTAGTCGCGTCTTAGATTCAATTTTAGATTGAAATGCAGATTTAATTTGAGATTGAGAATTAGACTTGGAAATAATTGCAAGCGGAACAATTAGAAGAGTTTCGGACTTCCACTTCAATTGATTTTAATCCTATTTCTAAATATATATCCCATAGGGAGCACTTACTGAAGGGCTTCTGCTCCACGCCGCCGGGAGTTTGAGCGGGAACGGTGGCCGCCGTCTCCTGGCGTCCCTGCGGCTGCGGCTGCTGCTGGTGCTGGTGCTCCAGGGGCACGAACTCGGTGTCGAAGCCGCTGCTGAATAGGGGCAACAGGTGAGATGAGTGGAGCTGCGGAGCCAGCGGGGCAGGGCCGCTCCAGACGCTCGCCATCCGCTGCGAAGCCTGGGCATGCAGTGGATCGTGTGGCTCGAGTGGTGCAAGTGGTGCGAAGGGCAGGGGCGCGAACAGGTTGCGATGCGCCGGCAATGGGTGGGTTAGATGTGGCATAAAGCTGGGTGGTGGGTGGTGGTGTAGAGTGTTGTGGTTAGTGTATACAGTATATGCTGTGAGTGTGTGTGTTCGTGTGTTCATGCAAATTCCAGTGGCGAGCGGAACGAATCGAAACGGAACCGGGACCCAATAATTCATATGCCTTCATTGTTGCCTCGCATAAAAAGAAGCTCAGCTCTAGCCCCCACAAAACTAAATACATATATATCTGCATATATCTGTGTAGTATATATGCTGATCGTGCTCATTGTTTAGGTTTTTTGCGCAGCATTTACCTGTGCCGCATACTAAGCGCCTCTCAGGGGAGCTCTTATTTAGAATCAAATGAAAATAACTTTTTAAGTGCCGAAACAATCGCTGAAAAAGGCGAACAAAACTTGAGCAATGTTCCTGCACTTGCCATCCATCAACTGAGATTTATGTCAACGGATTTGGGTTTTTTTGCTGTGTCTCCCAATGCATTCGAAATCTAGAAACTGACTCAGATACTATACTTTCTATGAAGAGATACGCGTTAGGCAACTTCAAATCTTTTTCTATCTTCGCTGCGGCTCATTAAAATTCGCTTCGCGGGAGCTAATTAAAAAAAGCTCATAATAAGAGCTAAATGAAAAATAAAATAAAAATACAAAGCGAAACTAGCTGGAAATAAATAATAAAACAATAATGCCCGCAAAGGCGAAACGTAAACAATTTGTTGGGTTGCTGACTTTGAGGTACTTCTGTGTATCCGATTCACTTCTGGTTGGAGTTCTGCCTCCGACCAAGATGACTCATCCGGCGGGACGTGATCGGCAGGGCTCAAAGCGGCTTTGGGAGTGATACAGACGATTTAAGCCGTCATTACGATATAGAGGCTTGGCCAGTTGCCAGATGATAGTGTTCCTTTTTTCTTTTCTGCTTCTACCATGTCAGATTCACTAGAAATCACTTATATCATATTGCTGGCGCGGTAGAGCACTCAGTTTGAATCAATTGTGTGTTCATCAATCAACTAAACACCATAATATTCAATACAAAGTAATGCTTCATTTATTCGCAATAATAATGTACGCTAACACGTTATCATGAATATTTCCGATTACTTGAAAATAAGTCAAAAACTTTTTTGTTTTTCATTATAGTTACAATGGCACGTTGATTATTCAATGGAAAGAATATTTAAAAATGCATACGTTCATGAACAAATTTGAATAAAATACATAAAAAATCTAGCAGTGGAAACAGTGCTTTTTGAAACCTAGGAATAAATACTCTTTTGTTATCTCATTTTGTATATATGATTTAAAAAATTCCAAATATATACATTTTTGAAACTGTCAACTGTATGTTGTTTGATGAGATTTTAAATATATGCATTTAGCAGTAAATCAATGACCCAGCAGTTTGTGATAGATTAATGATTATTTGAAGTATTTGTTTTGTGAGCAAGGTTTTCACTCCTACGCTGAATATCTATGGACCGCATATCCAATCTGTGAACCGAATACAATTCGTAAACAAACTAAATTCTGCCCGGTTGAAGCCAGAGCGAAAGTCATTGGCCACAGAAATTTCCAGGGAAATGTTTACGTCGGGGGCAGAGATGGATCCAACCAAATGGCTGCCTGATTTAATTAAAGCGCAGCCGTGGCAGGCAGAAAAAAACAACCAAATTGTGGGTGACCCAATTCGAGGGCAGATTATAGAGTTTGTGATGGGGGCATTCTTTAGCCGGCGCATTACACTTCCCACAATATGCCACTTTATGCCGTGTCAAATGTCAATTGCTTTCAGGGCCAAAACCGTTCGAGATTTGTTGGCCAAAGATGAGCCCTGCGGCGGATTGAACCCAAAGGTGGCAAAGTCAGCCAAGTGTGGCGCGACCGGCGAAGATCGGAGGATGAAGATGTGGATGTTGGAGATGTTGGTTGCCCAAGTCCCGCGGTGTTGCCCCACTTTAGTTGCACATTGTTCTCTTGCGATGCAGTATCTTTCGCAAAAAAAAGAAGAAAACTAAGACAAATGGAAGACTCAGATCGTGGCCTTTGTGCATTCCCAATTGCGGCAAAGAACCAACCCGGTTCGATGCGGATTTATTGGCAGACTATCTCTGCGACTCAACAGTTTCAGTTTGAGGTTTATCAATTGAGGTCAGTACTCGCCGGGCTTTGGACTTTCTTTCTGAGGGAACTTTTCGCTCTTTCAGCGCCTTCGCTACCATAAACATTTCGGTCAACTTTATTTGCAGTTTCGTTTAGCGGGCTAAAAATTTCTCCAAGAACAAACAGGGCTCGGTGCTTGGTGGGCTTTAAAATGTCATAAAAAGCACTGAACCCGGTATTAGCCAACTTTTATGTGGTGTCACTGTGGTGGCCCTCCGGCGGAACCAGTGAGTAAAAAAATATTAAAACTGTTTAAGCATTTTAAAGTTGTTTCTCATGTAAGCCTCGTCGGTATGTTTGCTTTGGTAAGTAGTTGTGAATGAGCAAATCTACTGGGGAATGGGGATTGCTGGGTTTACTTATAGTTCACCTGGACTTATCTGAGGACTCGTGTGAGGAACCCGAAGAGTCGTCGAATTCGGCAACCTCATCAGAACTTGAACTGGAATTCAACATTTTATTTATTGGGACAGGTTTAAAAGGTCGGGCGCTTGGGAAACATCTACCAGGGGTAACATCAAACATTCTATGGGACTTAAGCACTTAATAATAACGATTATTGTTCGCAATTAGCGTCGAACTTCCACCACTTGGTCTTCAGCCATTTATTTGAAAACGTGATTATAAAATATCATAATGGCTTACACAAAATTCTTGGTAAATTGTGGGTTACATTAATTTTGTTACGAACGTTATTATTGAAATGTTTCAAAACGTTTCAGTTGTGGGATCGATCTAGTTAGTCATAGTTAATGAAATCAGTTTGATCTTGTACCTGTTTCGAAGTGTTTTTGAGATGTTTCCGAAACGGGTTTTCATATATTTCGGTTTGGCATGTTATGTAAAATTTTGTACCATGATTCTATGAATTTGTAAATGTTAAATTAGACGGGTATTGCGATTTTGGTGAGCTCCAATAGTTTGATTTTGTGGGTCCCAGGCATTCCTGGCATTTCCATTGTGTTCCGATAACATCAAACATTTAGTTCATGCCTTATCAGAAGATGTCGATGTATGTTAACCATTAAGACAAACTACGTGAAATGTGCATGAAACGAACGCTACACAGCGCGAAAAAGTGTGGAAAATGTTGGGATTAATACTCACTCGCCGTAGAATGGAACCGCCTGTATCTGGATTGATCCCAGGAGGAGTAGGCAGGCCCACAGCCGTAGCATGTTCGCTATCACAATCCTAATCTGGAGCCTCGGTTTGGGAGCTAAGTAAATGAACGAGACAAGCTGAAAGTTGCTGTAATCAAGGGAATGGCTGAGCCTGGCCGAATGGCTGGTTGGATTCGAGAAATTTCACTGCGATGGATGGAAAAATCAGCTGGGAAACCGAAGAAATACAGGTTTTCCACGCAGCGCTGCACTCGCGTATGTAGGTGACTGATTTTGGGAGTGAGAGCGGCGGTCGAAGAAGAAAATTTTCCACTGTCTTCACGCATTAATTGTGAATATACGGATAGACGACATAACATACATATGCTGCCTGTCGCTCACGTATAATTATTGTGAATTGTCTTGTTTTACAACAAATTGGCACACACTCAATTATCAAATGTCTCCGGCTCCTTCGGCTGTTTGGTAGTTTTAATCGAAAGAAACGGGCACTTGTGGCACTCACGAAAGTGGTTATAGGTTGCTTGATCCGACGATGTGGCCGCTTCAAGTCGCAGTTTAAAACTAACTGCCTCAGAACGTCGAGCATCTGGTATTTATAAGCTGCTCTGCCGCAGTCGCTGCCGACTCCTCTGCCGACATCAACGCATGTAGTGATCATGGGAGCTTTGGGAGAACGGAGAGAACTTTTGGGGACGCTTTAAGTCGGGTGTACCTATATACATATGTACGTATGTACATGCAAATAGTGCGGGTGGCAGGAGGCTCGAACAAATTGTGAAAGTGCCAGCTATTAGCACTTCATGGCAAAGTGAGTGAAACGAAGCACTTTTATTAATCATAGTACTCAAAATACTCAAAATACCTTAGCGTTTCGAAACTAAACGTGTGTAGGATCCTATAATATAGGCCAGTATCACTAGACTAAGACTTGGCGTTCATTTTCAACATGCAATTGAACCGCATTCATTTTATTCAACTTTCATACTTTCAGGTGAATACAACATTTATTAAACAGTTCCTAGAATAATTTTCAGGTAAAACGGCACCTCATGTCCTACCTGTATGTGTTAGCCAGTGCGCACTTGCAATTTCGGAAATTCCCGTAACCTCTAACACCCATCAATCACTGTGGTTTCTGCTCTGTTCCGCCTGATTAGAAGTCTCCTCATATTTTGAAACTGTTCCGATCGCTTTTTATTGTTTTGTATAAACAAGATGTCAGCTTGTAGCTACATGTGTAGATGAAATTGAATTTCTCGGAACTGTGAGAAGACTTTTTAATGTGTTCTTGTATTTAATTGTTTGTTTTTAGTCAATATGAGATGATGAGTCGCCTATTCCTGAATCTACAGTATGTGTATATGTATGCATAATGGAAGTCATTGTTGAAAAACCCTTTTAGTTCCCTGTAAATATCTGTACAAATCGTTTACATCAGTTTCTGAAATAAATATTTATTCATTATTTACAATATTTATTTGTGCCATTTATGTAGGTGTATATATATCTTGTATACGTAGATGTACCACAACTGAAATGTATCTTTAAATATATTTGTTTCAAATAAATAAATACTTTCCCATTTTTCTGTTTATCTTGTGCAATTGAACGCCTTCTAGTTTAATGTTCATCGTAATTTTGATTAAAAGTTTACACTTAGATATGCAAATAGTACAATTGAACTAACACAATCTTTGAAGCATCATTCAATTTGAAATGTATTCACAATAAATTATTTGCAAGTCTCGTTATACATGAAGCTGAAATTTTGTGTATCCGTGTTTGAAATAATCTCCAGCCCAGTGATTATTTAAAACACTCTTGTGATCCATTCTGTTGCCAAATCTGCTCTTCCGGCCTCCTGCGTTCATCTATTTTCGCATTTCCTAGTTTTGTAGCTCTAAGAGGAACTTCCATCAAGATCATTCAAATCGCTCAGCGCCGCCTACTCGAAAAGTGCTGTGTGGATAAAGGCGAAAGAATAATCAAAATCCATAATTAATAGAGTATATAAGTGGGTTTTCCCGATGGACGAGCAATAAATAACAAATGTATTAATTGAAGACTGAAATAAGCTAGTTGCTAATAATAGGTTGCCACCTTGGGTAACTTTTGGGATTTTAGGAACACAATATCTTTTTAAGCAAATCGTATTTTTTTACCAACGAATTTTGGTTGCATGAGTTCGAGTTACCTGGCCGTTTGCCTCGCATTCCAAGGAATCCGTTGGGCGCCCGCTTCTCTCCCCAGAGGTAGAGCCAAGGATGAACCAGAGATTGCTCATGATCTTCCCCAATCCCAATCCCGATGCCGTTGCCCTCCAGATCGCTCTTCTTGCCACGCACCGCCACAAATTTGCTGTTGAAGTCCGCGAAGCGCTGCTGTTTGCCCCTTAAGTCATTGGACTTTTTAAAGAAAGTGTGCCAGAACTAGGGTCGATTAGATCTTCACATACTCGACGATCGACAACAGTACGCAATTCAATGGTCTCTGTCATGTGTTATTCATCAAGAGAGGCCACTGTACTTGCCACCAACTGCATGGTAAGTCGACTTACATCGGAGAGAGCTGCCCGCTTGTAGTGCTGATGGGAGACGTCCTTCTTGCCGCGCATCCCCACAAACGAGTTGATCGGCGCCCGCTTCTGCTCCAGCTCCGTGGCCTCGTCCGCCTCCGCATCGTCTTCTCCAGCCAGCAGGGCGGGCCGCTTGCCTCGCATGCCCGTGAATCCAGTGGGCGCCCGCTTGCCCACCGCTGAGCCATCATACCCAGCAATGCGATCGAAGTAGTCCTGCAGCAGGCTCTCCCGCAGCCGCTCCTCCTCCAGGCTCTGCAGCACTTCGTACAGGCGGGGGTTGATCGGGAAGACCTTCTTGCCGCGCATGCCCATGAAGGCAAGCGGTGCCTTCTTCAGGCGCCGCCCGTTCTCGGAGTAGCCGCTGTCCGCCTCCATGTCGGCGTAATCTAGCGGATCGGGTCCCGATCCCAGCCAGTTGCCCTCCGAGGTGTCGCGCTCCTCGTCCTTCTTGCCGCGCATCCCAATGAAGCTGGACGTGGGCGCCCGCTTCACCACCCTGCGCGACTCATCGGGTCCCGGCGTGAGTGGGCTGCCGGAGACCTCCGCCTCCGTGCCCGTGTCCGCCGCACTCGATGATGCCGTCAGCAGGAGCAGCAGCAGCAGCGCCACTGCTACCAAACCGCTCAGTGGGCGCATTGGACGTGGCGAGCTTTTAGGCGGGCTTGGAAGTCGATGCGCTGCTGGAAAAGCGGACTTGCGAAAAAATCGATGCTTTACTACGATGTACTTATAGGGATACTTATTGGGTAACTATGTTCTTAGGGAATTATGTTTATTTTAAATATTATTATTAGGGAATTGTGTTTATTTTATATGAACCTCTATATATTTTATTAGATATTATCACAAGGAAATGTTGATAAATCACAATTTTTTGCTAGAAAATAGTTCAATTTATTTTAAGTAGCTAAGTATAATCACTATATTTATAATTGTACCGATTAAATTTACCTCTACTCAGCAGCTTTGTAAGAATTTGAAAGAATTTAGCTGTATTCTGGTGTATAAATACTCAGGGTTATATTCTCACTCGCGTAAACAATTAAAAAAATTACTAGAGGTATTAACAAGAGGAGGCGTATGAGGAGTAACCCTTTAAAAATGCTTTTCCATTTCATTTCCTGCTTTGTTTGTTTTGATTTTCCCTGCTTTTTTTTTGCTTTTTGCATATACTTGCTTTAGTGCACTTAGACTCGCAAATTCCCCGCGGCGGCGTCTACTTGACCTTTTTGTAACCGTGTTCTGGGATTAGCGGGGGGTGTGCATAGGCTAAGGAGCTTGTGGGGAAACAGAATGCTATCCAACATACATTCATGCAACATAATATTTAAAAAAATTATAATACAAACTGTGTTTTATAATAAAATGTTGAATAGGATCGGTTTAATAAAAGGGGAGAATATGCTTAAGTTGTGTGCAAATGATAGATCATAACCATTGCAATCCGCTATTTTTAGTGCCGCAAGTTTCTGCGGAAATATCCAAACACATTCTGATGCTCATGAGTGCTGGCCTTTAGGCGAGATGCAATCGAGTGCAAGTGCAACGGCGGCTGATGCTGCAACTCTAGTCCCAAATGCAAACACACTGGACGAAATGGGGGAAGTGCACTCAAGCATTAAAATTCAAATATATAGATGTCGAAATTGATTTGGCTTATAATAAATTTATTATTAAGTCGAATACAAATATTTAAATACCTAAGTAGTTTGTATAATAATGGTATTTCAAACTGTCTTCTTGTCTTTTTACAACTAGACTTTTCCCGTATACTTTCGAGTGCAGCTTCCCATGTTGCAAGTATCTCTAACGAGTTGACGCCACGCATGATTATGCCAAGCCTTGTAAAGTGAAATTGCCATGCAAATAAACCCCTGGCCTGGTGGCTAAAACCCGGGGGAAATGGGGGCAAACGGTGTCGAAGTGGCAGCTGCAACAGAAGCAATAGATGTAAAAACGGTGGCGACGTCTAACGATGCGATGCGCACAGGAAACAACAAACATGTAATTCAATTGATTGCCACCGGCGGCGACAACCACAAACAAGCAAACATTGCAGCTTCGAGCAGAAAAGTGCAGAAGCAATTCAATTGAACTTAGCGAAATGCATTTGAATTCAATTGATGTCGCGTCTGCCACAATCAACAGGTTGTTAGGCACTTAGGTCTCATCGCTGTTATGATTACGACGCCTCTGTTTGCTTGGAGTTTGAATGGAGCCAAAGTGCTAAAAGGGCCGAAAGTTTGCTGTTTTTTTGGGCTTAAACAATATAATATTAGGGACTAGAGGAGAGGTCCTAAAATGTCAAAGCATCGGAACATGTCAGTTGTACTTTAAGCCAACAGTGGTCATAAGTACCGGATTCAATTTTTTAATTACAATGTGGGAGGTATGAAAAAATAGTTGCCTACACAGGAAAACATGAGTACTTGATTAGGCAGGTTATAATTAAATATTCTCGAAATTTTTTTTTTTAAATCACTTTTGGCTCCTTCTTGGTTAACTGATACCCAGTAACTTGCTATCTTATCCCACTGTGCCCAACTAATTCCAGTAGAGTTTGCTGCTGCAAAATTAACAGTGTGCAAATGTGGCGAACTTCCGGTTCTCGAGCTACCTGGCCCGGCTCGTCAAGCCACGTCCTGGCAGGACAGGAGGACATGAGGACGCCAGGACGCCAGGACATCGGGCTGACAGGCGGCAGTTGGACAATGGAACCGCACTAGGAAAACTCAACTCCCACCGCCGCCTTAATGCGGATAAGCTGTTAACTTGGCCATGTCTGTTGTCTAATTGTCTATGTAGGACACTCTCTGTCCCAGAACGTGCGTGTGTGTGTGAGAGTGTGTGTGTGTGTGTGAGTGTGCCTCGGGGTGTGTGTGCATCCCAAAGGACACTTTAAACTGCCGACAGGCGTGCGAGATTAAAGACGTGCCAAGTCGTCCTACGTCTAGATTTACATTTTGGCCAACACATTGTGTGCTCGGCCTTTGCTTTTCGTGTGTGTGTGTGTGTGTGTGTGTGCGCCCTTTTTCCGTGGGTGAATAAGATGGGCCCATTAGCCCAGTTGTAAGAAAGGACTACGCAATGTGACCCAACAACAACAGACGAACGGAATCAGAGAGGGCCAGCAGAAATGTATGAAATTAATAATAAAACAACATGGAAAACTCACTTTTCGGCCAATTGCCCGCGGCTGCATTTCCATGTCACCCTATTTTGCATGCGAAAAAGAGGTCAGAGTTCAGGCCAAAGCAAATACACACAGTTAATGCATAAAAAATGAGGCGTGACCATAATTCGAAATCGACTCCTTTTTATTTTTTTGTACTAGCAGCTGCAGCCCAATTCCGAATTTCCACCGGCATGCGTGTGGATTTTAAATAAATTTACATTAATTTTTTAGGAAAATAACTTGAACATGCCTTAGGGGCACGGAATATTAAGCAGCACTCAATCGATGCATAAAGAGACTTCATCTATATAGTAGGTTAAACGTCAAGGATCAAGGATGGTAAGACCAATCCTTTTTTTTAATATATAGGTTGTATCATTAGAACACTGAATTTTTTTATATTAGTCAGTTTTTAATATATAGGTTGTATCATTAGAACACTGATTTTTTTGATATTAGTCAGTTTATTGTCAGTTTAGTCAGCCTATTTCTACTCAATATATTACTACTCATAAAGAAGAAATATTTTGATAGACCTATGTGAAATTATTTGGAATCTGTGCAAATATCTTTATGTCAATGGGAAACTAAAAATGGAAAACTAATAAGAAAAATAACGCTTCAGCTTTGACCAATATTTCACAATTAGAGCTGATGCTCTTTAAATTTTATAAACTTGTAAAGTAAAGTTATAAAGCACGTGTAAAGTGTTTTTTTATTTCGTTAGTTGCTTAGCCAAAATGTTGCTCAACAATGCTGCCGCCGCGCTGCAATTGCGCTGGCCTCATGTTGCCAGCCGCGGCTACGTTCTGTTCTGCACTTAATCGCGGTTTCTGGTTGCCGCACGATCAGTTTGAATTTGGATTTGAAGCGGAACAGTTGGCGCACTTTCCACAAAGTAATTGCAGCCATCGCGATCGCATTCTGTTTCGTCTGTGCTCTAAATCAACACAAAAGTTAAATACTTCTTTCACTGGGTGTAGCTGCAATCAGCGAGGTGAGTGTCACATGAATATTGCAGATTGTTTGGCTGGCTTTATTTGTTCGAAAACAAAAGAAACACCTGGACTCTTTTCGAAAGAAAAAAGGGAGTGATAGCCAACTTTCTCGCCTAATTGCGAGTAAAGTTAAGCCGCTCACGCAGTGGGTATTGAGCTTTGTTATGTCGGTAACTGGCATGCAAAATAATCTATTTAGGTCAGATGCCTAAAACTTACTGGGCTTGAGTCCACGTTTGCGTTCCCGTTCTGATTTTCCTTGGTCACAGCTGAATATATTTCGAATTCGTAGCTTAGGTGGCCAAATACGGGGGTCTTTGATGGCAGTGTATTTATTACATGTAAATTGACAGATCATTTGGTTAGAGGGGAATTTGCCTTATCGGCTGAAGAGCCATTTATTGATAAGAGGTAGGGAATCACAGCGAGTAAATCACAGCATTTATGTATTTTAAATATTCAACTTAATTGAATTAAACTGTTTATTTAGTGTAAATGAAGCATGTATGAAACTGGCTTGTCTCAACTTAAACTGCTGCATTCGGTATTTGTGTTAGACAAACAGTGAAGATTCTCTAAAGTAATGGATTTTAAATCGATTTGCTGTAAAGTATTTTGAGTTCATTGGGGGAAATTTTAAATAAAATAACCACCTGCCAAAATTGGTCAATTAAATGGCTAAATGAATCATAATGTGAATTTATAAAGTTCCCAAGCGAAAAACATTTATAAACAGATGGCGGACAAGCGTCAAAGAATAAAAAATCATAGAAATGATTTTTAATAAGCAATAATGATGACTGGAACAATATTTCATAGTTCAGCGTAATCAAAACAAGCCGCATCGAGAATTAAAAATAAAATAGAACACAAATACACGTAGCATACACTTGCCAAATAGCATAAAGTGAAGAAAGTGAAAAGCAACAAAGTGTGCCGATAAGAACGAATTCATAACAAAGTGTCCGAATACAGAAATAACAATCCATTATTATTGTGGAACAGCTGCTGGGGAAATAAAAAGTTTTATGCGAAACACTACTCTGCGTGAAGAAGCCAGATTAAATAATTGACTTAGGCTGAGCTTGAGCTTGCATTAATTAATGAGACCCGAAGGGAATGTGAAACACAAGAGTGAAACCAGAAAGAGCTCGGGCCAAGAAGTTCAGGGGGGCTTGAGTAAATGGAATTAATTTCAAACAATTCATAAGCAAAACAAACAAAAGATTTTATCATTTTGTTGTCACTAAGCAATTGAGCCGTGAACTTCAATTGAAACATTTCAGCTGAAACGAGACACGCTTTGCACTGCGATGAACTCAACTGGACTGATTTAGATTGATTCACTAGGAAGCGGAACGGGTTGGGTCTTCAGACTATCCGGAAGGAAAACGTGGCCTAGAGAGAACAGAACACCTAGTGGAATTTGTTCAGTTGTTCGACAATCTTTCAAAGAATGCACGGGACGTGTGATCA